CAGCTAATCCCTGTAGGGACGAAGTGCCCCGAAATTTTTCACGGCGAGCCTATTACGGATAGAAAAAGTGTGTTTCAAGTGAGTTAAAAAGTGATAGACCCTTTATCCTTTGCATTCCACTTGTATACTTACGCATAGTATATTAACGATTCCACAGGATAGAAGTCGTTCGTCACACAATTCTCGGCTCGATTTAATGGCGTGCGGAAAGCAAAAGGAGTAGAACTATTCGTTAGCTGGATGTTTGAGACTAAAGTACAGGATCTCTTACGTCCCGGCTACCTTTTATCTTCCAAAACATCTGGAAAGCATCGGTGTTCAGATAAATAGAAACATTACGAGAGCAGAATATGACTCCTTGCTCCATGCCAGAATTTGTTCGACTCTGTTTGTATTTCGAATTTTCTAGAGCATCAAATGCCTTTTAATCATTAAAAAACTGGTTTTTTGACCGTCCAAGGTAGTACTACTGCCCTTACGATACGATATATATATAGCAGTGGTGTTTTTCGGCACCCTGCCGCGCCCTAGTTAACTGGTTGGGATTTAACGCAGTAGCTGTTCTAAGTGCAAATATATTTTGAATTCCGGCCTACCACAGTCAATAGTATTTTAGGCATATTTTACGGCACCCTTCTCGCCTGTCATTTCCCAATTTTCTTGATCGTTTCCACTTGACGGCTTGTGTCTTGGAAGGTTTGCTTCGAAAGATACCGGTTAGCTCTTTTTTTCTCAAGTCCTTACACTGAATTAGTGTTTGCAAGATTGTGCCTCCTTTGTAGTTGGATCCGGTCGGCCTATAAGAGAGGCAACCCGGATTTCGTTAAATTAACAGATTTTAAGGATGTCGTTAGTGCTACAATAGACCTTTAATTAAGAGCCGTGCTTTGATCACAGCAACAGTTTGAGTTCTTGTATCATGTCTCTTTATTTTTCACCGGAATTTGGACTTCTAGAATAATTTATATCCCACTTATTCCGTTTATACAGTCGCCTCATGCTTTTAAATTCCCGCTAGAAAATATAACCTTATACTTGCCACCCTTTACTCGCTTCCTTTAGGCTCATTGCTGCCGCGTGAGTTCCCTGCAGGAGGTATCTCTTTTCATTAGTAAAATGCTGGAAGATGGCAAGGTTGCGAATGCTACGCACAATATTACCGCTTGGTACTTACGAGCCAAGCTAAGAGATTCCAGCAACACACTGTCGCTTGTAGCTGATTTCGACGACGATGGGGAGGCCCACGCAGGTGCCCGTTTACTTCATTTGCTAACGATGGCTGCCAATGAGGGTATAGCTGTAATGGTATGTTTTATTTTTTTGGTACTTGCAGCCAACTGACCTTTATTTGAGTTTTCTTTCGTCTTTTCTGGGGGCGTCTATCTTGTACTACTTGTACTTGTTGCGGCTGCGATCATGACTGATCTAGGTGGCGGCGTCTATCTGGTTAATTTGAACACTAGCAAGTTTTCCGTGTTATATGCATCCTGTGTAATCTAATAATGCAATATATCCTGGCGACTGGTCTGCCGCCCACAATCTAACATAGATGTCATTCAATCTGTCAGTGCTTTGATTGAGCGCCAATCGGTAAACCGCCGGCATCGAGACGCCGGATAAGGATTGCATGGGGAGCAGCTGCCACATATAAAAGCTTTCTCAATATGGTCTAGGGCGACTTTTAGTTCTTTCAATCAAAAACCTACAATATGTTGGAAGAATATGTTTTTTGGCTATTTATTCTTCTGAAGATTGGTCCTTCAAAGCCCACTTATGGGCAGTATTTTGAGTAGTAGAACAAACAGCACTCATTGAAATACCACATCGTTTGATCATCGTACAAATTTGCGGACATGTCACCGAAGCAAATAAGTAATTTCTGCTTAAGATATTCACTGTTTTTTCTCCAATGCAA